ATATATATATATATAGATTGTTTATTATACACGAATAGCATTTTGCTTTTATTATAACTTTAAAATCTTATTTGTTATGAATTATGATTAAGGTTAAATATTTAGTACCTATCTTTTATTTAAACTGAGACGTTGATGACATTATTTATGGAAACACCACGGTAAATACTTTGGAATATTTCTTAMTAAATTGCACTTAGTGYATTTTTTAATTTAAAAATTAGTCTATTTCTGACTCATGTTGCACTCTAAATCAAAGAACCGAAATTGCTTCTAGCTGCCGCAATTTTTCAGAGACGATTTATAGTTTGACATATAACTTATTGACTGTAATAACGCTGCATTATTCTGTAAGAAAATTTAGGTATTCYAGATGTATGGATATGTGAATATTKTGTTTTCTTATTTAAATGCAAATTTTGTTTAAAAAAAAACTCACTAAAACATGCATAAATCTCCACCTATGTAAGCTCTGAGTATTATAATATTTAATATGTATGTATATTATGTTACTCAATCAATTATCTAACGGTGTTAGTTTAAAGTTGTATTATAATATAGTAATAACATGGAGGAATGGATAGTTTTTTTCAAAAATAATAGCTCTATAGTGCATACCTCACTGAGCAAAGCAACGACGGACTAGGGGAAACGATAAACGTGTCAAATGAAATATATTTATATACATGTATATTATTTGCAATTGTGTGCAACGACAAGTCCGGTGCCAGAAGAACCGTCGTTTCGAATACGTGACACGTTTAGGGTCGTTTTCCGGTAACCATGGTAGCACGACACGACGGCGGTAAAAGGGTCATAGGTCACTTTTCTTTACTCTTTATACCTCCGGAATATCTCTCACACGCATACACGATCTCTCTACGTATCCCTCACTSTATATCCGCTTTCATCCCTTCCACCACCAAATATATTTCCGATCCCATGCATTGTAACCATGTCCGTACACATCCATACCAACAACCTCGTCGCCTTGCGCTACACAATCCAACCCCAAGGATGAAAAAAATCCTGTACAAACTCCTATACCCCTTCTCCCCCCAAGATACCTAGAAATGAACTATATCTGCACAAGTCCGATTTAGACCGGAGTTGATGTGGAACATCTCTGGGGAATCGTGTTCTCTAAAAACTCGTATAGAGTACTGACAGGTTTATTTTCCGCACTGTCGCTCGTCGAGGGTGAGTGTACACTATATACACCATAAACAAGGCAATAACTGTATATACATATATGGTATATTATACAACAATACACACAGGCATATATATATATATATATATATATATATTATATATACTTACGACAAGAGCAATCGAAGTATGTATATAAACTACGTAGACTGTGTATAGTAAGTATGGGCGGGTAAGCGATCGATACGGGATTCTAAATCGTAAAATTTCACACGGAAAAATATGTTAATGACACCGAACATGCCAAAACGACAAGATGCAAGCGCCTCAGCAACCCTCTCTATGTATACAAGTATAATCATCGCATTATATGTAGACCAAGGCACACGTATAGTGGTGTTTAGATACTAACGTATTATAATGCATAATAATATCTGTTAATTTAAGGTTCTACAATAAATTCACTTYGAACATAAATCTTTATATTGTCAAACTTTTCATACRCAGACGAAATATTTAATAAATAGTTTTTGTAGAAAAATGTACTCATATTATGACATGCATTACAAATTATAATACGTTCTTTTATTCTTGCTTGTGAAATTTTTTATTTATTATTGACAATAGTTTAAAAACGTATGATTGRCAAAGTAACAATAGTTTATTTAAATAATAATATGACACAGTAATGTGTTGAGCACATGCTCTCATAAAGTCATAACCAGARAACCGGCRGAAGGCACGTGCGACCCGTGTGACTGAACAGAGTGGCAAATTTTTTTGGAATTTTAGGGGCGGCTAGGGTGGTCCTTAAACATATAGATTAAAAAAGAATCAAAATGTTTTTTATCCCACTCCCTAAAACAGTGTATATACAATATATATACAAAAATTAACTTCACGAAATATTGAATTAATATAACAAAGTTAACCCGTGCCTATTTGAGCCAAAAGTTTGAACTTTTAAAATTGTTTAAGTTTTTTACTTGTGTCATAAACCGTTGATCAAATTAAAATTTATTATGGTTACTAAATTAAGTTAAACTACATTTGCGAAAATTACCTAGCATATTATTTTAGCACATTTATATCGATAGAATAAATTACAATAAACTTAATATTTAAATCAAAATACATAAAATTTAAACTTTGGTAAAAATAAGGTGTGTAAACTGTGGTGTAAAAATTAATTATTAAGTTTTAAAKATAACGGTTTGAGTGTTTAAGTACGTTACAAAGTCATCTTTTTGAGTTTTACTTAGTTCATCCCAATTACCGCTCAAAGCAACAACTGCATCTTTCCAGTCTTGAAGTTTTTTATCCTTATTTTTGTATTCTTACCTTAGGAGTGTCCCAAATACACGACTTCAAATAAATTTCCATATACTTATGTCTCTCGATTTCAAAATTAGCTATATTGATGAAAAAATACGTGAGACAATAWTAATAATTTGGTTTTACAATTTTATATAATTAATACTTTTTTGAACCCAGTAAAAATTAACGATAGTTTAAGGTGTTTACGATGTTTACAATTTTATAACAATACCATTTACAATATCATCTCATTAAAATATCGTGTTATTATAAAAAATCGACTTAAAATTCATTAAATCAAAATACCCGTAAAATCGTTATCATAAAAGCAATAGAGGTTGAAGTACCTTTATAGATTAAGTGATTTAAAAAAAAATCGTGGCGAAAATGACGGCCAACTTGATTTAAACCTATTGGTTTTCAACGACAGAATTTCACCGTACCTAAATAGCTCCTGTTATACTACTGAATAGTCTAGTAGATTTATATTTTGTACATAGAAATGCACAGTAAATAAAAAAATGTATTTTTATCAATTTCGGAAAATTAATTTAATACCTATGCATATGTTACAAAATTGATTGATTGCGAGTAGTTTAATTTATGAATACAACTCGTTATATACTTATGTAACCAATTCAAAATTTCAAAATTACTAAACTGTTTTCTTTTGCAATAATACATTCACGTTTAAGTACCACTCTACCATAATACAATTATACACATTTACTTTAGAATAACTACATTTATATATAATATATTTTTTAAATAATATAACATTTTCTACAACCACCAGTGTTGTTTCTAAATTAAATTATTATTGTAATGCTAATTTCTTCTTTAAAGACTCTGGCATTTCTGGTGGTGGTGGTCTRGGTAACCTGAATATGACTTTAACTGCATCATAGATAAACCATTGAGCGGCCGTCAACGTTCCCACCATTACAATCCTTGGTCCCAATCCTTGCCATAATCCTAAGTAGTGAAAATGCACCATTGATAATATTTCGAAATAAATTAAACAAATTGTGTTATTTCATATACAGTAGTCACTCGATAATTCCAAAAACTCCATAAATCGAACTAAACGCTAAGTCCCCTGAGAAAACCTCTATAATTAGAAAAAAATACATGTATTCAGGTCCCCTCGATAATTCGAAATGTCTCYYGGTGAGGCACACTCTAAAATTTGATTTTTTTTCCACAAACCTCTATAATTCGAATTTCTTTAAGCGCGATTATATGTAATTTCAAGTGTATAAAGGTTGTCGTGTACAATCTATTTAATGTGCTCTTAATGAAATTAATRACATTAAACATGTTAAATATCATCTTAGTTTATAAATGTTATCGTATCTTACCTACTTAATCTAAACTTTAATCGTATCATTTTACCAAAATAAACTTCTGCAATGGGTAAACCTTTATTGAAATTTGATAAAACGTAGTCAATTACGGGTACCGTAAAGACCGTAAAGTACAAGTGTTTGTCGATAGCTGACAAAAAAGTGATCGCGGCAGTTAAAGCAGGTGAAAAAAAAGATGTTGCTCTACGTTTTGATATTCCAGCTTCTACGCTTTAAACAATATTTAAACAAAATGACTATCTTACAACATTTACACCTTATTTATCGCGGATCACACAAAAAAATATGAGTACCCCGAAAGTATTTCTTATGGCTTGGCTTACTCCAAKATAATAATATGTATGATAAATCGATAGCAATTAATAATTTTAAAATAAATTTTATAATATATATATTATATATGTTACCGGTAATATGGATAATCCTGTGGTTTGCAAAAACCTAGGCATTATATATATATTTTTTTTTTTTATTTCGTATGGCTAGGCATTATATGAAATGCCAAAAATCACTCGGAAATATACATAGGTAATACGAGCTTTGCCTAGGTATTATGTAGAATGCCCAACGTGGAGTAGGAAATATGATAAAAAGAAACAAAATATTGGGTATCGCTTATTACCAACGACTTTACATGTCGTTTATCGTAAATGCGCGTACCGTGTYCGTGTGTGCACGATTTGACGCAATAAAGATTAATATTGTTTTCCCATAATAATAATAATTCTGAGGAACTATATTGAAGTGCGTATATTATTATTACATTATCGTCATTTTCGTGTCTCATTGTAGTGTTTTATAGGTAATAAATAAGTTTAAAAATGATGTGTTAAATATTAATAAGTAAGATATTTTATATTTTTTAGGTGACAAGTGATGCTTTTTATCGATTAAGAACTCGAGATAGAGTTCTGAAGCAGTTATACGCCAGAACTAAGTTCACACTATGTCAGAAAAAGCTACCTAGGTACTACGAATTGACGAAGTTCCAACAGACCCAGAAGTGGCGTTACGAACAGTCGACCGGAACAGGCCAAGGATTTATAAAATGTGTTTGTAAGACCAAGTGTCAAAATAAAAAGTGCATTTGCCTTAAAAATAATGTTTCGTGCATTTTAAAATGGCATTTTTCTACATCATGTTATAATAAGTAGCTAGTAGTTTATGTAAAATGTATGAATAATAGTACCTACTTAATATAACAATAATATCAATAATATAGCAATACCTATGTATAAAAATATAATAATAGATAAAAATAAAATTTTGTGATATGAGTAATCATGTATAATAATTATAAGAGTCTTAATATAATATTATAACATATTATGATAAATTGACTTATCCTAAATAAAAATTGGCATTTTACAAAATGCCTAGAAATTTTATAAAATACCTAGGTTATAAATAAAATAATATTGAAAATCATTTGTTTTATTTACATTGCCTAAAATGGGTCGGCAGTATACACTATATATAATGCCTAGGGATTTTTCCAAATACCTGAAATGCCCATATTGGTGGTGACATATACATACAATTTTTACCGCTCTTTAATTCGAATTAATTTTTTTCCCTTGAACACTYGGTAAATCAAAAACCTCTATAAATCGAATTTTTAAGTCGGTTCCATGAATTTCAAATTATCGAGTGACTGTAATTCTATTTAAACGTGCATTGTATAAACATAAACAAAAAAGCAAGTATAAAAAACATCAGAGTTTTTCAAACTATCGGTCATACAATATAATATTTATCATAATTTCTTAAAGTTCATGTTTTTTTTTTTGTATACTTWTAAACTTTGTTTAATGTGTAATGTGTAATGCACTTCGATTGACTATACTCACCCATGAATCCAATTTTTTTAACAATATCTCCAACAGAGGCACCCTTAGCTTGGTTCAATTTAGACACCAACGTGTCTGCCGGATGGGAAACGACAGCGCAGAAAACACCAGCAATGTAACCAGCTCCAAATGTCACAATTAATTGTTCACCCTTGGTGCAATCTGCTCTAGGCTTAGGCACTACATATCTAAAAACAGACACACATATAACTGTAAATACTAAATTATTTTTAACATAAAAATCCATTTACTAATTACAAAAATCTCATAAATCATTAAAACATTTAATATAAGTATAGGTAACTAATATCAACAACTACTTGAAGTCAGTATYATCCTAAGTAAATAGCTTAATAATTAGTGTTTGTTAGTCCAGTTACAATTAAAACTATAAAACTGCTAAGACCAAATGGTGAATAACTTATTTTAACCAATCTAACTTCTTAATGAAGTAGATTTTTTTTTTGAGAATAGTACATWGGTTTGTTTTGATTTACATAGTAGACTATATTGTGAAATATATGACTAATATATTCAACTCGAAAAAAATAACTACATACTTGTACAGCAATTCAATAGTCTTTTCAAAACATGCGAATTTCATCATCGTGTAAGGGATTTGTCTCATCCATAGGGGCACTAAACTTTTGTAAAAYCCATTTAATCCTTCAGATTGGTGAATTTTTGGTAATGCTTCTCTCAACGTGTTAGCGAATCCTGGTTGAGTTTGTATACGGACCTACAGCCACAAACATACAATTGTAATATTATAATATTATGTACATTGAATCTTGAATGTAAACTTAACAAAAAATTGTATAATTAATATTCATGAGAAATATTTAGTGGTTACTTGTATTTTTCCCGAATACATTTTACCTGAATCGATATCAAAGTATATATTATAATTATACCAAATACATATCAAAATAAAAATTAATTAATGCAATTAATAATAACATAATAAATGTTGTACTTTAACAGTTAAATATTTTAAAATAATTAAATTAAAAATACGTAAAAAAATATATGTTTTTGCCCAAAATTTTATTTTATGCCATGATGGTTGAGTAAAATTAAACTAAAATAAGTTTACTATATAAATTACAATAAAAAGTACTAATTTTATAGAAAATGAAAGTACAACGACAACCGATACTACGCGAATAACGAAACTTTATGATTACAACAATTACAACGATTTACGTGTATACAAGCAATAGTAATATTATAATAATGTTTCGAGTTTTCGGACTTTCGGGAACTATTCGGGAATATCAATTGGTGGAAAATGGGGGGGTACTATTTTTTCCTGAAACACCAATGGCCTCAAACAACACGTATTCGAAATCTAGCACAATTATTTAGAAACAGACAATACCGTATTGTACTAATTTCTTCAGCCTACCCCCCGCCCCACCCCTTCCACCAAACACCTGCGCAAGCCATCCGGATTGTAATTTTCAAAAAAATCAATTTATTTTTAGGTATTTACATATATTAATTAAAAATGGGTTGTTGCATTTTAAAAACAATATTTGTTCAAAATTCCGATCTGTCATGAATTCATGATTGTTCGTTCCGTATCTTCCACGATAAACGATAACCATTTTCTAAGTAAATAGGCAGTACCTAATAATAAGTAATAATATTTTTGTATAGCAAAATTAGTAATCATATACAGACACACAGTGTATATAATATATTTAGTCAATAACTTTTGGTATAATATAAATTGGTACCGATGTCGATGATAAACTGTTTCCTAGCAAAACATATTTAATTAAGTTATAAATACTTGAAACCCGAAACCGRCATGGCGATATCAAATTGTTAATAAATGAATATTGATTAATATAATAGGTATGATTATTGATAGAACGTTGAAGCATGATGACAATGGCACGATATTTTTATTTAACAAGGATTATTAATGAAAAAAAAAATTAAGAATTAAGAGAATTAAAAAAAGTATTCAATACGGAAATAAGTACTCAAATACTTACAACACCGGTAATACATAATATAATAAACATCTCTTCATGCAAAATCCCAAACCATGACAAAAGTAATTAGAAAGACAAATATTTTATGTATCGGTACTTTATGTTTGATAAAAAAAAATATTTATACAAACTTCTATAATTTACGTTAAAATAAAACAGTTTAAGATTTCAAAGAGAAAATATTTTTCTAGATCAATTTACGGGTGAAAACGATTATTATATTATTACTTTTTCGTAGTACCAAGTATATAATATTATTATTGTCCTATTACCATAAAGCTCAATTAATAACATTTCTTTGTTAAATACGAYTTTATGATTAGTGTTTTAAATATCTTTAACAAAGAATTTAATAAAAAAGACCATCTTAAGGATCCATTATTTATTTTAACGAGTAACGACGAGTTTGTTTAGAAACACAAATAGTGATGGGAAATTTGACAGAAAGCAGTGTTATACTTGTGAAGTAAAATGAGTGGCARTACCATATAATATCATTGATACAACACACATGTTATTTTTTCTCACAAAGTGAAATAATCACATTTTAAAAGAGATTTTTAAAAACATACGCGAAGAGAATTTTATACTATAATGAACCCGATGTATAAGTACAATGAAAACAAGGATAGTAATTTTGAAYATTTACAATACCACCTAAGCAAAATAAAACGAWAAATAGAAGTGTAGTGTACCTATAGATATTGCCAAAGTGAGAAAAAAACGAATATTTCTTTTTTAAGTATATGGTTCTGTGGTTTATGCCCAGCGGTTAGATTTACTAGGTTTAGCCATGCACTGCTTTTAATCTCTTTAATAGTAACAATTTTTATTTTTATTACTTCATACATTTTAGATTCTGAGCGGAGTGATGAATGCATTGATTTTACAATGATGTGTGTTTTTTTTTTATTGGACACGATAAGTTGTCAAAATGGTGCTTCGATTTTTAACTTCAGTAGCTTTTCCGGTTGAAAAGTGAATGTAGTTGGTGTATTGAGCGAGGAGGACAAATATTGAAATTCCTAGTAGACGGGAAACACAAAAAAAAAATTATGGAAAAACTAGAATTTTTACGTAGAATCAAGTTTTGAGAAATTCGATTTTAGATATTGGTGTAACTCTAAAAAAATTACCGTAGTCACATAACATTTTCACTGAATGCTAATACTGGCATTTTCTATACTTGATACAATTTTCAAAATATTTCAAATCTTTTAAAGTTAATTATAGACATTTGAAATTTTCAATATTTTTAGTTATATTTTTTATAAATGATAATGCAATTTTATTAATTAGGTAAAAAAATTTTAAAATTTAATACAAAACTTCTAATATATTGTTACAACAGTAGTAAAAAAAATATCAAAAATACATGGTTACAATTTTTATTAATAAGCAATGAAATTTCGAATTTTTACAAAATTTATAAAAATCACGAAAATCACGAAAATTTGCAATTTCTTTTGAGTTAAAAATGCATAAAAGTTCATATTTTTTTAGATCTAAGATTTGAAAATTCAATACAAGATTCTTCATGAGTTTGTCTACTTTTATAAAATAAGAAATGTCTACCTGAAAGTCAAATTAAATGTTTATGAATTATTAGCATTTGTATTACAACATTGGATATTCACTCAATTTCTCTTGTACCTACCGATATTTTGATTTTGTTGTTATTCAAAAACGAATAACTGTAAAAACTTGAAATTTACACGATATATTTATACTTGATAAAATGTTCAAAAATGTTTAAGTTGTTAATAAACATTTTGTAACCTTACCTAACCTAACCTTTGAAACGTTTGTTTTTTCGTTTTTTATTCGATAAATATCGATTTAATTTAATTTATTGGGTCAAAAGACTTGAAAATTTAATACAAGGTTCCCATAACTTTATATAATAGCAGTAGAAAAATATTAAAAATACACAGCCACTTTTTTTTATAACCATTTTAAGTTAAAATTTTGACAAAATGTATTCAATTGAAAATTTACAAATTCTTTAGTTGTTAAAAATTTATAAAACGTTTAAATTGTATATCTAAGGATTGAAAATTTAAAAGAAGGTTTCAAGTAAGTAGTTAATTCTGCTTCAAAAATTCTAAAAACTGWACAAACACAGTTTTTTTATACCTAGTGATTTTAAATTTAAATATTTGGATAAAATTACATATTAAATAACTAAGAATAACAGTTTTAATTATATTGTTGTAATTTAAAAATTTAATTTGTGAGTACTTAAATTTCTATACTTTATATTCTAATATTAATAGTTAATGTCTTTAATGACTTATATTATTATATTAATACTTTAAATAAACTGTATATGCCTTCTATGAATGACTGAGTGAGTCGTGCTRCACGAATCGTGCAGTGCATAATGATTCTGATTTGATTAATTTGGAATTTATTTTGAAGGTACCAAAATTTTTTTTTTAAATAATAACAATATAATTAATATAGCATAACATAATATCCTAGACTGATAAACCGTCTCCACTCAGAATCATTTTTCACATACAATGATATTATATCATTGAATTAAAATTTAATACCATCCATTACAGTAACTCACTTGTAACCTACTGTACAGAAATGCGWCGTCCACTTACCCGCTTTTTATAGTTTAATTTAATTTAATAACTAAAACAAACAAACGGTACTGGTCTATTTGACCACCGCCCAGAAGGCAATTCCCCCGCCATTTGGTTTAGTTGACGCCCACCACTTACATCTCTCGTATTTTCKATATTAAAAAAATGTATARTATACTGATAAACTGCAGTGTGCAGATAAAAAGGTACGAGATCATATACGTTAGGTATTTGTGTGAAATTATCTAATWAGATATTTTAAGAATAATGTTTGGTAAAATCCGTGCAGTTAAATTAATGATAGAAGATAGGYATAATAGCAGCGGTGCCTTATATAACATTATGGAGTACCTTCCTCAGTTATTCAATCGTCATCTGAAGAAAAAAAGGCGGTAAGTCGTGGATGTCGCTATGCTGTACAGTATAGTTTACAAGTGGGTTACTCGGTTACTGTAGTGGATGGAATTAAATTTGAATCCAATGATATTATATCATTGTATACGAAAAACGATTCTGAGCGAAGACGGTTATCTGTCTAGGATATATTATAGATTATTAAAAATTTTCAAATCTTAGATTTAAAAAGAAAATTTTTAT